AATACAACAAAACAAAGGCCCAATTACATCAATCCTGGAGGCCAATTTACAAGTGAAGACTCAGGTTTGACCCAGTTGACCTGAGACAGATCTAAACCCAGTTGACCTGAAGCAGATCTAACCCGAGAAGGCCCAAACCCATTTAGGGTTTTTTTGCTCAAAGTTCCAGCCGCCAGCAATCACAACCGTTCGATCGAAAGGGAGATAAACGGCCCAGATGAAGCTTCCAGAAACCCTAGGGTTTCATTACACCCTAGGGCTATTCCGGCCGCCGCCTCCAGATGTACCCGACCAAGGTAGATCCAAACTTGACGATCGAAGTTTTAAATATGTTTTTTTTGGTTATGAGTCAAAGTCCAAAGGCTACAAGTTATATAATCCAAGCAATGGAATAATTATTATTAGTCGTGATGTTGAGTTTGATGAATAAGCGAGTTGGAATTGGGACACACAAGAAGAAAACTATGAATTTTTTTCGTATTTTGAAGAAGAACAAGATATGATTCCTCCGCAAGATGTGAACCCTCCACATGATATGACCCCACCTTCACCTAAACTGTTCTATGAAGAAACTTCTGGTGAAAGCTCGAGCTCCAGAGAAAGTTTGAATGAAAGACTAAAGAAATTTAGAAGTATAAGGGATTTTTACCTCTCCACTAAAGATATTAATGACTTGTTTTGCTTGATGGTAGATAATGACTCACTTAATTTTGATGATGATGTGAAGGACAAGAAATGGAGATTAGCAATGGATTAATAAATAAGTCCATTGAGAAGAACAATACTCGTGAGTTATCGAAACTTCCAAAAGGTCATAAAGCTATCGAGGTCAAGTGGATTTTCAAGAAAAGAAGAATACAAGCGGAGAAGTGGTGAGATACAAAACAAGACATGTTGTTAAAGGCTATAAGTAAAAGCATGGGGTCGATTATGATAAGTCTTTGTACCAGTTGCTCGAATTAAAACCATTTGATTGATTATCTCCCTAACAGCTCAAAAGAAGTGAAAAATTCATCAACTTGATGTGAAACAAACATTTCTCAATGGTTTATTAGAAGAGAAAGTTTACATTGAGCAACCCACTGGATACAAAGTCAAAGTTCAAGAAGATAAATGTATAAGGATGAAAATTATGTTATATAGGTTGAAATAAGCACATCGTGCATGCTATATAACCATGAATGAATATGACTATCCATGATGATTAGATGTAACCATGTATGTTGAAAATGTATCATCAAAGGTTGTAACTATTCTAATAGTTATTTACAATCCCTATATAAAGGATTGTAAATGATGAAGCAAAGCACTCAATTCAAGTGAATTTTCTTATATTTTCTTCTTCTTCTCTACAAGTTTGTATTTTATATTTTCATATCCCCAACATGGGGTTCGAGGGTATTGCTATTCTCTACTCTTGATATTTACTACACACTAAGGTTACTACTTTATTGCTTCTTGTGTCTTTTTCCTTCATGTATCCTAATGTTTCGAGCAAACCATAGCACTCAAACACATACTAATGCTTCTGTTTGTTTTCCACTTGAGGCACTATCAAAGATCTAGCTTAACCACTTGTTGAAGCTCCACTGTGTGCTTTGTGAAGGTCATAATTAATGTATTTTTTTCCAAACTGCTTGAGCAAGAAAGCAATCACTGAAAATGTGTATGCTTGATTCTATATTGTCTGGGCGTAGTGGCAGTGTGGATTGTTTGTAATGTGCTTGTTGTACAACGTCTGTTTTGTTGGTACATTGATAGAGGATGTCAGTGGAGTGATGTACGTTGCTCGAAGTTGAAGAAACAAGCCTAGGGATCTAGACTCAATCAAAGAACGAGAGGGAAGATGAATTAGATTTTTGTCATAATCTAGGGTTTTGAATGAGGAAGGAAGATGCTAGAAAATTAAGATAAGAACACAAGATTAAGACTAAGCAATGAAGATAAACGAAAGATAGAGAAGATAAACAAAGATAAAGAACTGATAAAGATAGAATGACCTAGCTAAAATTATGGTTTTGGTGGTGATGGGCTAAAATGGTGATTATACAATGATGATGGCGATAGATAGATAGTTGTTCTACGAACCCTCCTAGTTATAATTGACTAAGAAAACTCAATAATCAACTCTAATCAGCCCTCCTAATCGCAATAAAGAGGTAAACCGAAGTGTGAAGATCTTCGTCACGAAGAACTTGAAGAACTTAATGATAAAGAATGCTTGGAAGGAACAACACAATCATCACTTGCAAAAACGTTCTCATGTTGTATTATTAATCCAAAGAAATCTGATTGACAATGGTCAATGGAGCGTGCTTTATATAGGGTAAGGAGTTCCATGAATCTAAGTAATTATTGAATAAAATAATAATAAACTAAAGATAATGTTTAGATTTCATCCTATTCTTAATAAAATAATAATAAATTAAACATAATGTTTTAACTCTATCTCAATTCCTAATAAAATAATAAATCTAATCCTAAAAGATAAAGAATCATCCTATATTAAATTATATTACAAATAATCAATAGAAATATTAATAATTCGTAATATTTACAAAATCACGTATAAGAATTTATGCATGCACTGTCTTCGCTCAAATAGAGTAATAAATGATTTATATATAAAATAATTATTTATATTTATTCATTGATTAATAATTTTAAATTAATTTAGGTAAATATAAATGTAAAAATAATAATATTATTATTTATTATATTTTAATAATTGAATTAATATCTTATTAATCTTTTGAACAAGTAATAAGTCGGCTAAAAGTTCACATGTTTTTGCAAGAGGTTCATAGTTCATACATCCAAAACAAATCACGGCTATTGTTGAAATATATGTGATGTAGTTTCTCTTTTCTCTTTTTGTCGTTTGTCAATACAAACAAAGATCTTACACACCCAAAGATAACAACAACATTAGTGAACAAAGTGTGAAAATATGGCTCCATCCATGATCCTTTATATTTGCTCCATCATTAAGCCCTAATTCAATTATTGTACCAAGAAAAGAAAAAAAAATCCAGATGCAGTTAGCTTTATTCACTGCTTTTATTTTCAACAATATTAATATTTTTTCTTAAAAAAATTATTTTAAAAATAAAATCATCATCAATCATTTCAGATTAAATTTTATCATACACTTATAAAATTATTTTTTATAGGATTTAACAATTGTGTAATTTTAGGTAAGATTTAAGGTTTAAGATCTTGAAATTAGAAAGACATTTTTAATAGTTTGATGTGATTATAAGATATTATCTATTCAGAATCTGTCTTAATTGTTGATAAAGTGTACTAACTCGCCCTACATAGACAGCTACTCAAACTCAAGACATCTAAGAAAAATAATATTCTCGTCTATTATTGAAATCGTTTAATGTTAAAATCGTTTAACGAGTTGTAAAATTCAACTTTAAAATAGATATAATTATCTTAACCAAATATTATGTAGTATGTATTTTATTACTATAATATCATTAGACAGGATGAATTGTTCAATGGGTGGCCCCTTCGAAGAAGCAAGGGGGCAGACAGTATGAGTGAAGATGAAGTGAGAAACATGGATGGAAGATGCATGGAGTTTTTTCAATTCCCATTTATTGTTCCCAAGTCTCCACTGTATGTATAAAAGGAGGAGAGGGGTGAAGTGATAAGAATTTAACGAAGAAGATGATGAAGAATGGAAGTTCAAGCTCAAAGAAAGATGATCTTTATCACGTCATTCATAAAGTTCCACAGGAGATTCTCCTTGTGTTAAAGCCAAACATGCTCAAGTCTTTCTCTCTTTCCCTATTTCCCTTCTGCTTACCATTCTAGTTTTAATCACTAATCTTCATGTATATTTAATTTATTTTCTGTAAATAACCATTTTTTGGTAAACTAAATTTTTTATTAAATTTTAAAATAATAATACCTTAATTATCTTTTTGAAAATTAATTTGTGATTTCAGTTCTCTCCCCACTTCAAAATTTGAACCAAAGTGCCTATAAGTACGTCTAATTGAATTACTTACTAGGGTTTTCAATAGAGGTTGGTAGTGACATAGCAATAACGACACCGTCTGAACTCATTATTATTGAAAATAGTGATATGAAGCAGAATTACACCCAAAATAATGGATTGCGGTAGCAATTTAAAAGATAACAATCATTTGTGATAATAACGGATCACTATTCTAATTATTATTCTATTATAGTAAAATTTAAAAAAATGAACTCCTTTAAAAAATTAACATAAATGTAATAAGTACTGTAAATCACTCTAAAAATCATTAAAAGTAATTATTATTATAATAAGAAGAAGAAGAATAAGAAGTGTGCGAATTATAAAGTCCGTGATTATATCAGTTTAATAAACTAATTCAATGAACACATTATCATAAAGTTTGGGTATAAACTACAAAAATCAAAGCTTATAAGTAGCGAATATTAGGGTTTTGGAATTGAATTTAAGGAATATAATTTCTTAAAAGTAGTCGTGTACTTTACTAACCTCAAAGTTCAATTTGAATGGTAGTTTTATTAAAACTAGAATGAAAGCATTACAAAATAAGCCGAGTGATGAAAACAATTTACCAAGCTCATAATGGAAGATTTTTGGGTTGAACGTGGCATGCAGCTGGTAGAAAGAATCTAGAAGCAGCAATAGTATTATTTTGAAAGGCGATAAACGTGGGTGATAGAGTAGACAGTGCACTGAAAGACATGGCCGTGGTGATGAAGCAACTCAACCGAACCGAAGAAGCCATCGAGGCTTTCAAATCTTTCAGGTCATGCTGCTCTAAACAAGCACAGGAGTCGCTTGACAACGTTCTCATCGACTTATACAAGGTATATATATATATATAACACATACCATGTTCTCATTTCAATGATGGTTTCCCTGCAACTGCATTTGAACCGGTTCCACTTAAATGAATTTGGCAGAAGTGTGGAAAAGTAGACGAGCATATGGAGTTAATAAAAAGAAAGCTGATTAATATACCAGGGAGAGATGTTCAATGGAAGACCTACCAAGACTGCTCGTTCCTACGGGAAGAAGTTTCAGGTTTCCGTTAAGCAAGAAACCTCTAGATTACTGGGAAATATGGGTTGGGCTTACATGCAGAAATCCAACTACTTGACGGCTGAGGTGGTTTACAAAAAAGTCCAGATGATCGACCCCGACGCCAACAAGGCATGCAACTTGGGTCTTTGCCTTCTCAAGCAAGGCAGGTTCGAGGATGCAGGTTCGATCCTTGGAGATGTATTGCAAGGTACAATTCCTGGTTCAGAAGACATTAGAGCCAGGAATAGAGGTCGAGAATTGCTGATGGAGCTTAAAGCCTTTCAGCCACCTTTGGAATTATCTGATATTATGGGACTCGATGATCATGATTTTATCAATGGGGTTGAGCTGTTGATGAATGAATGGGCACCGGTTAGATCAAAGAGGCTACCCATTTTTTAAGAGGTTTCCTCACTTAGAGATCAATTGGAATGTTAAGCAATAAATAAGGTTTGCTCTTTTGGGCGTGTTAAAAATAAGGGTGATTTGTGTTCTTTGTCTAATTGGATCAGTGTTAGTCTTGTTTATAGATGTATAGGCATAAGTATACTGTAAACAGTGTTCAAGTAACTGTTAAAATTTTTAGGTAATGGACTCATTGTGCATAAATTTACTGTAGTTATAGTTATAAGAATTGAATAATCTAGTTATGTGAACAAAGTAATTGGCTCATTATTTGTCTATGGATTTATTATAGATCTTAGGCCAAAAGATAGTTAGAATCATTAGTTAAAATTCTACAAAACAAGAGTTTCTATAAAGCTTGTGATAGTATTTGTTTCCAAACCTAGTTGCATGCCTTCTAATTAAGTTATATATGGAAGTTCTAAAGCACAAAAATGAAGGGTAAAATATACAAATGGTCCCTTGGCTATAGGACATTTCTTTGTTGAGTTCCCCAACTATTAAAAGTTATAAAATGATCCCTCGACAATAGGGTGTTGCTTTGTTAAGTCCTTCGACTATTAAAAGTTAAAAAATGGTCTCAGACTATAGAAAGTTATTTTGTTTAGTCCCTCAACAAGTTATTTTGTTTAGTCCCTCAACCATTAAAAGTTACAAAATGGACACCCAACTATTCACATGTTCCAAACTCATCATTTTCATTAGAAAATTGACAGTTATCTAAGGCCTCTGAGCTGGCCATTAACATGTTGACTAAGTGTAACATCCTACACCGATACGACACACAGTCGACCGATTTAAGGTGTTATACAATACCACCAAAGTGGCTAACCATCTTTAAACTTACTTCCTCATGCTTTAAAACGACCATTATAACCAATCATAAAAAAATGCCCAATAATAAAAAATCCTTTCACTGAGGAGCTCCAAAATAAAATATTTACACTTCAAAAATATTACAGACCAACATGACTAAATCTATGACTCAACTGGATAATAATGTTTACAAATATACATGCCCAATAAAAATGTTGAGACGTACATCTGATCTACATTGGACTGGTCTGGACCTTGATCTATATATTGCTTCCCAAATGCTTGATCTACTAACATGCCCACAGAAACATACAAAGGCTGAGCTAACTAGCTCAGAACCACACTAACATCTAAAACATACTAACTATAATTCACTGAAAGGCTTAAGCATTCAAGTTAATTGCTTTTCTATCTAGTCTACTAAGCTATTTTGTACTGCTTTAGTGAGTATACTTGTATACTCACTCTCTACTCTATGGTAGACATCATGGTACGACTGAGATTTTTGTATCTCGGAGCTCACACACCACTCTAGTCTATCGAGAATGTGGCCCCCAGAATCTCTGAATCGGACACCACACTATCGACTAGCCCACTCCTTGAGTGTCGGACCTTGCGGCCAAACTAGTCAGTTTTAAGTGCCTTACGCACTACCTAAGGATATCCTGATAGATTCTATACTTTTGTCTCTACTATATTTCCTAAAGAAACTCAGGTGTTATTGAGTGTCGGACCTTGCGCCCAAACTAGTCAGCTTTAAGTGCCTTGCGCACTACCTAAGGATATTCAGACTGATTATATACTTGCATTCAAACAAGGTAATATTATTTGATCTTACTCTATTCTTATTTTTACGTTTGAATTGAACTTTCTTGCCGTTCTCACTTGTAGTCTTATTTGATGATATAATGAAGTGTTGGGGTACCTTGAGTGCAATTCCCTAAAAAGCTGACGTTTTTCCCAAAACAAACTTAAAGTAGCGATATTAGCCCAAGAGTATCGATACTCCTGTAAAAAAGTTTTGATACTTTATAAAAGTACATATACTATTAAACATTTTGTTTTGCCTAGTTTCGAAACTTTCTTGGATTTTTGAATGTTTTACCAAAAGTTTCAATACTCTTGAAAGACTATCGATACTCTTGCCCAGAAACTCACAAATTTGCCTAAAACAAAAAACAAGAATCGATACTATCCCTATAGTATTGATACTCTAAATGCAAAAGTAAAAAAACAAGTACAAAAAACTCTATTTCTCAATCCCAAAGACCTTAGTAAGGTCCCCAAACATGCTTAAAGTTTTATTTGATCAACAAGGGTCATAATAGAGACTTATTAACATGTTTATAACATGGAATGAACAATCTACCATGGAAATTGTTAAACATGCTTTAAACTTAACTTTCTAACACATCTTAACTTTCCATGATCTACACTTGGTATGAGAAAGCTATAAGTGTGTTAACTTATTACCTTGGCTGCTAAAACACCTCTTGAATCAATTAGAAACCACCTTACCTTGAAGACAAACCCATTCTGAAAACAAATTCTAAAACTTATAAAATGGAGCTTGAAACAAAGCTTGGAGGATGGAGAGAAACATTCTCACCTTAGCTTAGCAAGCCCACACTTAGAACTCTTAATATCTCAACTTGGAAGGAAGAAGAAAGAAAGGAATCACAGAAGAAAGAAGAAAAGTATTTGGTGAGGAGGTAATGGGGGTGGTTCACGTATAAGATATAATAAGGAATGTGTTTTCAGCTTCTAGTTTTAACTATGGGCAAACTACATTATTATTCCCCCAACTTCTAAATCATAAAACTCTTAGCATTTAACCATAATTCCCTTGGGCCTCAACTAAATCCCACTAACACTAAACTTGGTCCAACTAATTTATGAAGTCTTTTGTGTTCAACTTTGGGTCTTGGGTTGACCCGAGCTATTAACCCAGGATTCGGGATGTTACAACTCTTCCCTTCTAATAGGAAATTTCGTCCTCAAAATTTCGACAAGGCATCTACTACCAATCTCAACTGTTAAGACTTATATTCTAAGGATTGAACTATAGGTTAACTATAACGGTTACTGGAATATGAATAGGGTGAGGTAACCTGAGATCTCATCAACTGCATCATCCTCTTCACTAGCTATGATCGCAAACTGACAGGCTGTAACTCTAGGCTCCCCACTAGCTTCGGGTTGAATGTCACCTCTACCAGTCTGACCAAAATAATTCCTTCCTCTCTAAAACCCTCTGTCTTTCTGAACTGACAAATCTGACTGTTGGGTCAACACTGGAGCTACATCCTGAGCTTGTAAGTAATCTCAGATAAAATCATCTAGAGACCTATAATGGCAACAACCTCTAGACCCAAATTTGCAAACTCCTGAGTGCTTTCTACTACAGATAAAACAAATGGGCCGACAAGGAACTATCAACGATCCTCTAACGCTAGCTATTGGTACAGTAAATAATGGTCTTCTGCGCTGATTGGTCCTACTCTCTCATCTGCTTGCATTCTGAGTTGGTCGACTAAACTGACATGTCGGGGCTCTTTCTGACTCTTGAGATCCACTCCTTGAGTGTCGGACCTTGCACCCAAACTAGTCAGTTTTAAGTGCATTGTGCACTACCTAAGAATATCCAGACTGATTCTATATTTTCGTCTCTGCTATCTTTTTCAAAGGAACTCAAGTGTTCTGGTTGTTTCCCGAGCATTCAAACAAGGCTAGTATTATTTGATCTTACTATATTCTTGTTTATACGCTTGAATTAAATTTTCTTATCATTCTCACTTGTAGTCTTATTTGATGATATAATGAAGTGTTGGGGCACCTCGAGTCTAATTTCCTAAAAAACTGACTTTGTTCCCCAATACAGATTGACAGTATTGATAATAGCCCAAGATTATCGATACTTCTGCAAAAGTTTCGATACTTTATATGTACTGATACTTTTAAACATTCTGTTCTGCCCAATTTCAAAACTTTCTTGGAGTTTCAAAACTTTGACCCAAAGTTTCAATACTCTTGAGAAAGTATCGATAATCTTGCCCAGAAACTCAAGAATTTGCCTAAAACAAAGAACAAGTATCGATATTATCCATATAGTATTGACACCCTACATGTATAAGTAAAAAACAAGGACGAAAAACTCTATTTCTCAATCCGCATGACCTTAGCGAGGTCTCTACACATTCTTAAAGTTTTATTGGAACAACAGGGGTTATAATAGAGGCTTATTAACATGCTTATAACATTGAATGAACAATCTACCATGGAAATTGCTAAACATGCTTTAAACTTAACTTTCTAACACGTCTTAACTTTCCATGATCTACACTTGGTATGAGAAAGCTATAAGTGTGTTACCTTATTGCCATGGCTGCTAAAACACCTCTTGAATCAACTAGGAGCCACCCTACCTTCAAAAAAAAAACCCATTTTGAAAACAAATTCTTAAATTCACAAAATGGAGCTTGAAACAAAGCTTGAAGGATGGAGAAAAACATTCTCACCTTAGCTTAGCAACCCCACACTTAGAAATCCTAATATCTCAACTTGGAATGGAGAAGAAATAAATGAATTATGGAACAAACAAGAGAAGTATTTGGTGAGGAGGTAATGGGGGTGGTTCACGTATAAGATATAATAAGGAATGAGTTTTCAGCTTTTAGTTCTAACTATGGGAAAACTACATTATTAGTCTCCCAACTTCTAAATCATAAAACTCTTATCACTTAACCATAATTCTCTTGGGTCTCAACTCAAGACCACTAACACTAAACTTGGTCCAACTAATTTATGAAGTCTTCTGGGCTCAACTTTGGGTCTCGGGTTGATCCGGACTACTAACCTGGGATTCAAGGTGTTACACTAAGATATGATAAAATTATGTTTTAATGATGTCACTGGCACTGCCATTACTTTCAAGCATTGACTCGATGACATAATGTTTCAAGCATTCATTTAACGCATAATGTAAACAGAGAGTCAATCCATATAATAAAACTCAACCAATTATGAGATCGGATTTTATCATATCTTAGTCAACATGCTAACATCCTGCTCAAACGATAGCCAATTGTTTTGATGTAAAATGACGAGTTTGGAACATATGAATAGTCAAGTGGACATTCTGTAATTTTTAATAGTTAAGGGACTAAACAAAATAATGCCCTATAGTTGGAGGACTATTTTATAACTTTTAATAGTTGGGGGACTCAAC